CGATACAAAACATGATTGTAAAAAAAAAATAAAAAAAAAAAAAAAAAAAAAAAAAAAAATTGTAAAAGTTGTCAGCTTTGGCAAAGCAAGGCGTATAAGCATGCGCAGGAGAACGAAACTGAGCCGCACAATGTGCGAATTGACATTTTTTAATGGAATATCATCGACAAAGCTTACAATGTGCTTAGAGCATAAACAATGATATCTTGAAATTTTCTGCATGTACAGGAAAAAAATTTCCAGATTAAATATTGTTTTAAAAAAATGGGGCCCACCCCCATGTGTGTTTTTTTGTATGATTTCTGGTTTTTTCCTGTACATATAGCGTTGTTCTAATATTTTACTTAAAATGTATATTTCACGTTATGGAGATCATTTTTAGATCTAAAGAGTAAAATTATTGATACAACCCAAGCTCTTTATTTTACATTTTTCAAAAATATTTATTTATTCTTTTTGAATTAATATATATTTAATACCCAATAAATGCAAAGATGGTTTGAATAATTCAATAAGAGCATGTTTGGCTAAGCTTAAAATCGGATTAAAATTGAAAATATATCTGTTATTGGGTCCCACTCGTATAATAAAAGTCAACAATAATTGTTAGTTTTTCAATTTTAATTTCTACCGAACACACACTAAATAGAACATCTAACTTATTAAATGTAATCATTATAAAGTACAAATGTAGAGGGTGCCTCTATTTTTAAAAGTTAAAATAGAGGGATATTAGAGTATAATTCTAAGGATTTGCCTCTCTACAAAGTGTAAGTTGGAGATGCTCTTATAAGACCTTATAAACTAAAATTTTCATAAAAAATAAAGCCAAACGAATACCAAAATATCTAAAATTTGAATATTTTTCAGGTGAAAAATTATACCAATCAAACACAATTAATTGACAATTCCCAATAAAACAAGTCATATGCAATTCAATTCCCTTAAATTCACTTTCTTTCCACCCAAATTTCATTCTTACAATTAAACGAATTCTTATATTTCTTTTATCGGATGTGAATTAAGCTTTTGTATATAAAAAAGTGATAGGACATGTCACTTTTTATTTCAAATAGGCAATTAGCTAATTTTAACTTCTTAAATTAATATTTAATTGGTTGGGTTTGTAAAGTAGTGGTTAAATCTAAGTTTAGATGGATTTTTTAAATGGAAAAAAATCGTAATCATTATTTTTAGAGATAATATTTTGACTTATTTGACATCCCACAATGACGCCAAAGAAGAAAAAGAATACGCGTTTCTCTCTCCAAATAATATTAAAATTGTTGTAAATAGTTAGTTATTGGTGAATGACAATTGTACTCTTAGATATTATTATCATATGTATCCATATTCATTCCCTATAAATATAGAGTTTTGGTTTTTATTATAATACATAAAAGTCTATTGACTTCTTTTATTCTCTCTTTTTATAACATAAACGATAATAATTTTACTTTTGTAATTTAAATTTCAAAAATTAAAAATTAAATATACATTACCACCATTAACAGGAATAGGAACAAAACAAAAGCATATACCAAAAATATATCTGATCTGTGAATAAAAAAGATAACACCTAATTTTTTTTATAATGAAACTTAAAAGCATGGTTTCCTTTAATTTTATCATTTCAAAATAAGATATGCTACACATACGGGGAATTCTCCGTACTCTTTTTCAATATCTCGATGAAAAAGGTTCACATGACCTAATTTTGCCCAAAAATTATGTATATTGGGCTCAACCTTGAACTGTCGTCCAATGAATTATTTGTACCAGGGCCCGAACATGGGTCTCAAGGGGCTGAACTGTACCAGCTCTGCTCGACCTACTTCATTGCTTGAGCTGGCTTGTGTTAGTTTTGAAGCAAGACGAGCACAAGTCAGTTCGATCAAAAATTTGTTGCTTGGCTCCTCCGTCACATTATCTTTATATTTTTATAAAATTTATTTAAAAATTTAAATTATTTGACTTTTGAGAACCACAAATTGGCCATACGAGTTGATAGTTGATTTGTACGAAAACTACCACCTCAACTTGTCTTATAACTCCTCTCCGAATCAAGTTGAGCTGAGCCAATCAGTGACCGGTCCTTGGAAAACTTGACCCCTATTAGTATAGATTAAAAACAAATTTTTAGCAATTTTTAATAAAAATTGATGAAATTTGTGAATTCAATGAAATATATACAATTAAAATAAATTATTGAGTTATAACATCATGCTATTAGTGTTATGAGTGTGTTTGTCTCTCGTTATTGAGAGAAAAATAGAGTAATGAATAGTATTTTTTGGAGAATGTATGGTTGAAATTTAAAGTACCGTTATTGATTTGTGTTTTGAATATTTTATTGGCAGCTTGTTTGGTAGGAATTTTTGTGGGAAGAATTGATTTTTGAATAGTGATATGATGAGAAATGTGTGGTTGAAAAAGAAGAAAAAATTATTGATATGATAAAAAATATTATTTTAGTGAAGAATGTGTGGTTAAAAATGAGAATTGATTTACTGCAGAATCAAAAAATCAAAAACAAATACCCCTGGATGAGTGCGTGGTGAAGAATTTTATTGTAGTAAACAATTTTTAGGACTAATAGGAGACGAACGGGGCAAAATGAACCCATTCAAATTTTCCGCCAGCAAAGCGCTCCATTGTCGCCTCCGGAAATGGCAGTCCCCGAACCAAACGACCGACTATTGGTTTTTCTCAAAACCGGCATTTATCTGTTCGAAAGCTCGAAAACGGTGTTCATCGACCCGGTTCGAATCTTAACTCGGTCGTACACCCGGTTTAGGGTTTCGCCGTCGGCTTATTACTCCCGATTCTTCAACTCCATTGCCGACCACTCAACCGAAACTCACAATAACTGTTCAGGAAATTTGAAGAAACGAAAACGCAATAAGAAGAAAGAGAAATCGCACAATCTCAACCAGCGTGAACAAATCGCTGATCAACGACATCAGGTATAGATTCATACATATACACACACAAGCGTACATTTTATGTATGAATTGATGTTCTTACTAGTGCCGGTGTAAAAAGATTGACAGCTTGTGCGGCATAACGAACTTACTTATTTTACCAGTAATTCAGTAGAATACTAGTAATTTGATATTACCTTTTATGAGTGGCAAAATGAAAAATTTAGCTCATTGTTATATGTTTAGTATATGGTGCTACACGTAATAAAATACTGCCCCATGAATTAGTAGGTGATGTCTGGTGATAACATGTGACATACTGACAGTTCGATTAAAACATTTTCTCATGGGAGGAGTGTTCAAAAATGCCTTCTATTTGTCAATGTGTATATATGTTGCTTGTATCATTACACAAAAAATGTTTTTTCTTTTTTGGTTGAAGGAGGTGAGGTCTATGTTATTGAAGGCGCATGAGGCGTTGCTAAAATCAAGTGAGCTTTTGGAAATTGTGAAGAATTTGAGGAATGTGGGGTGTGATGAAGAGAGATATGAGACCAATGTGATTTCACAAGATAGAGAGCTTGATTTTGTGGAGGTAGGGAGTGTTTGGCAAGCGCCACTCTATGAGATCACTCTTAATTTTCATCAGGATGAAATGATGGTAAAAAATGCAGGTGTGCTTTAGATCTATGCTATTTACTTCTTTGGAACTTCTAGTCTCTATTTCCAATTCACAATAAATCAAGATGACATTTTTACTCCATTGATATCTCCTTTTTTTTTTAAAGTTTTCTCCAAGCAGTGTAATAGTGTTTCCGATGAAAAGAAATTTTTATTAATTATTTATATCCTTTCGATAGAATGATATTCTTGTGTACTTAGCATGAAGATATATAAGAATTTATATCTTGTTTATATCTATTTTATATGTAGAAGCATCAAGTAGGAATGACTTAAAGTTGTTTACGCCTTCTGAAATCGTATTTACTGTTCTAGTTTTTCAGAAGCATAACAAATTTTTTTTCTAATTCTTCTTTCCATTTTGTACAACACTCTAATACATCATATTGTATGATAACTAAAATCTAATGCAATCATCTAACTTGGAACAGTATTCATACAACATGAATGTGACCATATTTTATGTTAATGTATGAAGTTCGCGGATTAAGAAGAAAGAACAAACTTTGGTCTCTTCTACTCCCTATAGATGGAAATTTGTGCCCAGATTGAGATTTCATGTCATTGTCTGATAGATTCCATCTCTGGGTATATATGAGGTTTTTATTTTATTTGACAATGGCTCATTGATGCATATTGTGGACCTCAATCCAACCATCCACCATAATCAAGAAGATCTACATGCCACAACTTTGCACTAGGTCCTACCTTTGAGCCACCACAACTATAAATAGAAAAATAGTATGCCTGTATCAGGGTGCTCTAAAGATATTAAGAATCACAGATAGTCCACAAAAAAATTGTCTTATTGATGCATGTTGTGGACCTCAATCCAATCATCCACCATAATCAATAATAGCTACTTGGCACAACTTTGCACTAGATCCTATGTTTGAGCCACCACATCTATAGATAAGAAGATACAGTACGCTATTATCAGGTTGCTCTAAAGATATTAGGATTCACAGACATAGTTCACAAAAAATTTTGCTTGATGATGGACGCGCATTCACAAAAATATTTGTGCAGTATCATAGCTGGAAAATGATATGAGGGGAAACATTTGTTCCTTTGTTAATAAATTGTGGTTGTGCTTAGTTATTGTGACTTAGTTATGGCCCTGTTTGACACCCAATCTCATTCTCATTTTTTTCTTCTTTCTTCGTTTCAACCACATATTCTTCAAATAAAATAATATTACACACAAATTTAAAACTTTTCAACCACATATTCTTCCATCAATCACTATTCCAGAATTCATTTTTTCTTCAAAATGGATGTCAAACACAAGCTATATGTCAAAGAGTCATGTCCATTTCCGAAGTATGACGCAGATGAAATGATATCAAGTGTCATGGCATGTCGGATGCAGCTATGGTAGTAATTACAGATTTGAAGTGATGCAGCTGTTGGTTTACATGATAGGTGTATTGCCTAAAATGTTGGCTGTGCTGCATGTTGTAATTTGTTAAACTTTGTGAGCGTGTTTTGAAGCTTCTGGCTGATGGTGTATCTGGATTGCATTTACCTTCTTTTGCTTAGATGCTTGTTCCAATTACAATGACAAATAACACTTAACCTTGCAGCATTGGATATACTCTACAAGACTAACCACACATGAAAGTGTTATCGGTGCCCCATTATTGTTAGCCAATGCAATGTGATATCACACTGATGTTCTAGACACTAATATTAGCTAAATGAAAACTAAAGTTGACGAGCATGCTTTCCTGTGTTATTTAAAAGCAATTGGCCGTGTTTGCATCTCAAGGTCCATGCCTGATAATATCAAGAATTATACTTATGCATACATTTGTTAAATGTTTTTCAAAATGCTTGAAACATGGACGGATTGATAGCAGTTTCACGTGAATGTGTGTGGTGCATGATGCCTTTATGGGATGCTTTATGTTTGCCTCATTGCCTGTGTCAATAAAAGTCCAATTGTTGCAATGTTGCATAAAGAAGTATTCATCCTTCAGCTTCATAGACTACAAGGAGCTTAAGTTTCCTTATGGTTTTCCAGGTTTCCCACCTTTTCAATTCTGCAAACAAAGAGTTGTTCCAGTATTTAACACCCTAGTTGCCAATGAGGGGAGCAGTGACATGGAGGCTGAATTTTTGAACCACAGATTCATTGTACCAAAGAACAGTTGTTTCTACATGGTATGAGACGAAAACTCCTTTTGGTGATGGTATGATCAAATGGTGTTGAAGAATAGATAAAATGGCTTGATTTCTTGTAATCTGTTCTTTATTATTAAGTTACTATTCTACAGTTCTAGTAGTTCTCTCTCTCTCTCTCTCTCTCTCTCTCTCTCTCTCTCTCTCTCTCTCTCTCTCTATTATACTAGACTTATATTAGAGTATTAGTTTATTTCTCTCATTTAAACATGCAATGAATCCTTTTCTGATCACAGTCTCTGAGAACTTTCTAGTGTAATTGCGTGGTTTCAGTGTTTTTTGCATCTAACATTCTCTATGCTTTGCTTTTCTTATTATGTGGAAGTCTGATCTGGGAAAGATTCACAACTTGATTCCTGGTAATCTTTGAGCTTACTCAAATTTTCTTTTGAATCTCGTATAGAAAGATGTGAACTCTATATGTCCAAGGCACGATAGGTTAGGAATAAGAAAATATTTATTGTATATGGGGAACTATTAATTTTTCGTTCACCAAAATTAGAGGCATTATGCGTTATTGGTTTTTTTTGAGAAATTGACTTGGCCCCTGTTTGGCACCCATTCTCTTTAATTTTTTTCTTTCTTCATTTTAACCACACATTCTCCAAATAAAATAATATTATACACAAATCTAAAATTTTTCATCACTTTTCCACCACACATTCGCTCATCAATCACTATTCCAAAATTTCTATTCCCATTAAAATGGGTGCTAAACACTCACTTAGTAAACTTTTTTCATAATAAGAAAATATTTATTGTATATAGGGAATTATTAATTTTTCGTTCACCAAAATTAGTGGCATCATGTGTTATTGGTTTTCTTTTGAGAAATTGACTTAGTGAACTTTTTTCATAACTTAGTTTTACCTCTTCATGGAAATTGAAATTGTAGAATCGTTTTGCAGATAAGGAGATAATAATTACCTGTTAAAAACATTGGTTGCTATGATTTTAAATGACCAACCCTAGCCAATTTGTGCTTTTAGGCTGCTCTTATATATTTTTCTCTTTCCCTGTAACAAGTTATTAAGGCCTTCTTAACTTTGTATGCTTTTGTGAATCTATTTTTGATATCTTTTTGCCAAAATGGATATGAGTTTCCCACTGTTTTATGTCAGCTGAATCTGATTGTGGCTTCAATCTCATAGTGATCGATCCACCGTGGGAGAATAGCAGTGCACATCAGAAACTGAAGTATGTTCACATCATCGATCTAATTTACTAGTCTAGCATTTGAAGCATGAGAACGTTTCCGTTTAATTACTTGTACAGAAATCCTATACATAAAATAGTGTGCAGCTGGAGGTTTTTCCGAATTGAATTCTTATCACTATTTATCTAAGTTTATCAACAATTTCCTTGATGCAATCTAACAGGCAGAGACTGTCTATTGATGAATTTTCTTGAAAAAGAAGATCAACTTCTTTTAGAAACTTGATAATTAACAAACACTCTAAAGTCTTCACGCCATTTTTGTACTGATTGCCAATTCTCATAACAAAATTGCGGAAAGTTCAATTAGTTGGATCATTTGTTATAGAAATTCTTTATACTTTTTGGATTGGAAAATTGTCTTATTTTTGGATTTTTACTTTAATAAAACACGTGTTATTTGTATAACACATTTCATTTAAAAACTAAAACATCTATACTCATAAGTCATAGCATATTTAATATTTTTTTGAAGCAATCTAAAACATATTTTGTGTGTGTGTGTGTATGTGTGTGTGTATAGGAATGATCTAATGAGAATCAGTGTTCATTTTATGTTAAGCACCGATGATGTGTTATATAAATTTATTGGTGGATTTTAAACTTAGTTTAAACGTTGAGGCTCACCATAAGTTTGTTCATCAATGAATATATATGATACATCATTGGTGTTTCAACATAAGTTGGGCACCGATGCTCATTAAATTATGCATATATGATCTATTAAGCACCAGCTAAGCACTCATGACATGGCATATCAATGCATCCACCATATATATATATATATCAATGTCGTCATCTATTGGCTGCTTGATATAGGTTAAGCAACGGTGCTTATTATATTGTAACTATTTTAAATCTGAGCATTTTTATATCCAATATAATTTAAATAGAGTAAGATAAGGAAATTAGATTAAGGAGTCAACAATATGTGAAGAACCAATTTGTTTATGCTTGCAACTTCATGACTAATTTGACATTTAAGCCAACCATAAGGTATCAAAGAGATATTTACGATCACCCCATTTTTTGACATACTTGCAAAATGATATTCAAGTCAAGCAGTCAACTAAACCATTGGCTATTTGTTTGTGTAAAAAATTCACAATTCCCTATTTTAATGTTGTTTTTTTTGAACTCTGTAGACAACACATCGAAGGACCGAGTTACCCATTTTTAAGTTCTCGGAGCCCACTCGACATTGAAGCCAATTATAATAGAGTTTCAAAATTACCTTTTTAGGCAGAGAAATTTTATTTATTAGAAGCTTCTTATAGTTAAACTTCTATGACTGTCATTTTGATGAAACCATAAAGAAGATCATAGTGATGTAAAAACAAACTTAAGTATTGTTGCCAAAAAATCTGGGGTTGGGTACATGAATTGTTTTTGGCAATTCAGTTGTTTGTTGGTAGATCTAGTTATCGGAATCAAAAACCACTTTCACTAACTTGCAAGTATCTTTTCCATTTGATTGCTGACTGTGTAAGTATTGGGGGATTTTAAAAGCAGAATCGTGGTCTTTTTCATAGAATGCTCTTCTGCTTACGCAGATAGACTATGTTGCTGGTAATACTGAGTTTGCTTATGCAGACAATTGAAAGGATATCAGCAGATTCTTGTACAATTCACTAAGTATTCTTCAGATACTCTGAGTGCAGAACCAAACAAATATTCACCATTGCAGCTCTTTGTTTTACATTTAGAAGCTATTGAACTTCATAAGTTAGGTTGCTTGAATTATTTTAAGTGGCTTTATTCTTTTGACACTTGATATTACACTGTTACTTATCCTGAAATTTGTTGGTTTTAAATTTTCCTGACCGTTACAGGTATCAGACTTTGCCTAATAGATACTTCTTATCTCTTCCCATTAAGCAATTAACCCATACAGCTGGATCTCTGGTAGCCTTATGGGTAACTAATAGGGAGAAATTGCGGAGCTTTGTGGAGAATGAATTATTTCCAAAATGGGGTGTCAAATATGCTGCTACCTTTTACTGGCTGAAGGTATTCCCATCTAACTATGGACATTGGCTAGATTCACAGCTATCTGCTACCGAGTCTACAAATCTAATTATTGATGTTACAGGTGAAAGCGGATGGCTTGTTGATTAGTGAACTGGATCTCTTTCATCATAGGCCATATGAATGTGTTATCCTTGGTTATTGTCATCGGGCGGTGAGTCTATCTAACTACTGGAACTGGTCTTATTTTGTTAGATACCTGATTACGCCCAAAGAATAACGCGGTAGTTGTAGGACAGCGTTGGGGTGTCGTAGCCACAGGGAGATGGAAGAATATTTAAAGAATCGAAAATGCTTAATTGTTCTCTCAAATGTGTAATAAAATTCAATATTGAAACGTGAAATTAAAATCAATAATTCGAAGCAGTGAAGCGTCGGAATTCTCTCAATCGGTTTGGATCAATCATTTCAATTATTCATTTTTATAACACAATTAGAGGTTTTCATTCCGACACTCTAATCGGAAGATATATCGTGAAAATTTATTTAATTTACAAATGTAATCCTAGAATTTAGATTTAAGACATATTCGCACAATTTTATTGGAATAAGATCAAAGATCGACCATATACATCAAGCATAAGGCAGTAATCAATCCGCCAATAAAGTGAAATTGAGATTAAAATTCAACAACTAGTTTAATCTAAAGATAGAAGAAGCATGATTGGATCTATGAATGATATAATAATTGTTAAACCAATCTCAACAATAAATAATTGAAATTGAAATTCAATAAATAGTTTAATTGAACAATGAAAAAAGTATGATTGAATCCATGAAAAATTTTGTAAATATTAAACCGATTTCAATATAAATTTAAGAGAATGACTAAATTCTAGCATTGTTTGATAATGAAAAGATCAAATTAAATGAATAAAAGACATGAAATCACCAATTCCAATCGAGTTCCTTCGTAGCTTCACAAAGATCTTTAGTTCCTCATGTGTTTCTTGAGTCAAAGAGGAGAAGAATAGTGTACGGGGGCCTTGTCCATTTGTATTCTGCTGTTAAGTATTTGTAAGAGTCGGAAATTGGATGAAAATCACGTCCAAATTGGTTTCCAAAAGAGTTCTAATCGAATAAGGAAAGTTGTTTTCGCGCGCGGATTTTTTGTCTATGCACAGGAGTCAGTAATTTGGTTATAACTTTCTCTTCCAATATCTGATTTAGACGATTCAAAATGTGTTAGAAAGATAACTCGAAGAGCTGCAACTTTGTTAGAAATAGCTCTTTTCCAATTCGGACTTTTACTATGCCAATAATGGGTCTCAATCTTCGGTTAAAAATCTGGAATATATCTTGTGCGAATTGGAAATTGATTTTGATAATATTCCATTCCTTTTTAACTTCTAATTGCTTTCAGTCGACCCTTAGCACTCTCGAACCTTCATCGTGAGCTCCGACATAATTTTTGAGTATTTGCACTTTAGTCCCTGAACTTTTACTTTCTTCCATTTTGGTCATTTTTCACATTTTTCTTCTTATTTCCGCTACATTCATTACTTGTCCTGCAAAACGTGAATTGCACAGAATTAAGCTATATTTCAACATATTAAGCAACAATTGCTCATTTTTTGATAGTAAAATAAGTATGTAAAAACGTACTTATCAATACCCTTTTATCTCTCTCTGTTCTTTGTGCAGGATATGAATTCCCAACATCAGCTAAGATTGAACCATGTACCAGATGATCAAGTCTTCATCAGTGTTCCTGGAGATTATTCAAGGAAGCCCCCCATTGGAGGTAGTCTTTGCACTGACAAAATAAAAAATTTAATATATTCGCCTTTGGTTTCTTTTAGCCTGATTGTTCTTCCCAGTTGTATTTTCTCTTCAAGCTGCGAGTTCTTGTCTGTTGTTACTCCATAATCAACAAATCATTGTCAATCTTAGGCATTAGCTGTATTGATTTCCATTTAATAATTTGTAATGGGAAATTGGTTCTTCCATTTCAATTCCTTGGCACGTAGAGTTGCTGCTGGATTATGTACCTGGGTTTAGGCCTGCTCGCTGCATTGAACTATTCTCTAGGGAGATGATAGCAGGCTGGACTTCTTGGGGCAATGAACCACTTCACTTTCAAGATTCAAGATATTTCCTTACGAAGGGGATAGATAAGTGACCCCTCCTAGATGAGGCACTTGCTTTGAGAAGTCTGGAATATATATTACACACTCTCGACCATTTACGTTCGGTAAGTTTCCATGTCCATCAAGTTGTTTTTTTGAATTTCGGGATGATGATAATGATTTATTGAAATCAAGTACATGGTATAGTTCTATTGTTCTCTTTCATGAAAGCAGGAAGAGAATATTTTCATTGTTAAATGTAGTCTAACTGTCTAAGCCTATGTTTGCTCATTTTATAAACACTTAAGAGTCACTTTTTATCCTTTCATTTTGATCGATTCACAAGTACTACCCACTTATTCACCATTCCATTTCTGTTTTGTTTATAATTTAAATCCTTTATAAACACTTCCCAAACATTCTCAAAGTATCATCTTGGTGGTTTCTGATAAGTTTTCTAAAGAATCAGATTGTTAAGAGTTTTCTGGCCTTGTATAGCTATTCTACAATATAATGGTTAATTGAATCCATTTGGGAAATTTTTTAAAATGGATTAGTTTGATTAAAACTTTTAAGTAACGAAGCTCATTTGGCAAACCCATTTTTTGACGATTGCTGTTCCTCTGGAAATACGGAAAATCTGTGTGTTTTTTAAATGGCAAATCTGTTGTGTTGACTGCAAAAAAAGTAGAATTTCCCTTTTGAATGTTATTGACCATTAGACATTAAATGCAAAAATGACCAGAGCATGCTTGGCTAAGTAAACATTTTTCGTAAAAAAAAAGTTGCATTTTTTTGATAATAGATCTTACCTTACTCTCAAAATAGGTAACTTATTTCCAATTATATATTTTAAAACAAACTTTTAAGCTTAGCCAAACATGCTTACCTCATTCATGTTCGTTCTAAGTGTGGTACCTGTTTCAAACAACACCCAGTGGGTTTTTTGTGTGCAGCTAGATTTGGAGCCAAAACCAGGCGCACAAGTGAAACCAGTTGCCAAAATAGATCTAGGAGCCAGGCTGAACTTGTGCCTACATAACCGTTAACACTGCTTGCATTGATGCAAATTTCCCCAGAGATGCTGATATATAGTTTGTAAAAGGGTAGCTGCTATATTCGACCCCAAGATATACTTGGAGAATCATTTCACACTCAATTCCACTATCTTTGTACGTATTAAGTTGCACGTGTTTGGGCTTTGAGAGAATTCTGAAGGCTGACCAAGAACGAAAGAAGTTGTGAAAGGTATTGCAAGTGGAGGATTCTTAAGGACTGCATTCACTATGCGGGATGGTGTACAAGACTGCACCAGCCAAAACACATTATGTTTGGTACCAAGTACTAGATCGTACTGTATAGAATAATAGACGTTTTTTTTTAATTCTTTTAATTCATATTATGAAGTTTTGCATTCTTTGCTTGTTGTCAACGATAATGCTCCTCAAAAATGTTACTGTAAACTAGCCGAATGTATACATTTATAATGTATTCCATGTTTGCTATCTTTAGGCATACTAACGTATAAAAGAACAATTTATTTCAACTTGAACTTTGAATAGAATGATTGATTTTCTGTGTGTACTTCAGGCTGGGGTAATGATTCAGTTTCTTCAGCAATTCTGCTCATTGGCAAGAAATATATTGTGGATGTTATTCATGTATTTGATCCATGCATCTGATGGGTTTTGATTGAAAGATCTACACGTGCACGTGCACCCAAACCTCTCATTAGAATGTTATCGCCTTGGCCAAATAATTCCGAGAATGGTGGATGTCAATGTACAGTTAATATTAGGTGCTTGTTCGGCTCTCATTTCTCCAAAATCATTTTAAAAAATATTTTTTCAATATTATAAATTTTTTCTATTTTTTAATCACATATTCCAAAAAAAAAATTTACTTTTCACAAAATCTATTTCATAAAAAATTTCTACAAAACATGGATTAGATATTTTGAAATAATAATTCAAGAGAGACAGAGAGCCCCCGGTTTAGTGTTGTTAAAAATAAGATTTTTAATAGATTTTCATAAATCTAAAAGTTGTGGATTAGATGTGTGGTTAAAAACAAATAAAAAAAAAAAAATGGGAGCCAAACTTGGGAAAAATCAGATCTAGATGATTTTCTTGTTTATTTTTTCTTTATATACCTCCAAATTGCTTACCTTAGACTTTGTAATTCAATCCAACGCGTAAAAAAAATATTAAATTATGTTGTTCTAAACTTAAATATATATTAAAATCTCTTTAAAGAAATAACAAAGTCGTTGTAGTATAGTGGTGAGTATTCCCGCCTGTCACGCGGGTGACCCGGGTTCGATCCCCGGCAACGGCGTCCTTTAGATACTTTCTTTTGTCCCTTTAATTATTTGCTTTTTTGCCCCTAAATTTGCTAAATAGTGAATACACAGTAAAGGATGGCCAACGAGTAGTTTAATCAGCCCAATTCTAAGGTTCATTTTTATGAAAAAAAATAATAATTATGTAGATCCATATGTATAGTGATAAAGAATTACTTAAAAGCACATTTACATTTTTTTTTTAATACTTGAAGCTAAACATGCCTAATCAGTGATATTAGGCAAAATTGTAACTTGAGCGGATAACACTTACAACCCTAATTCTTGGCTAGATTTAGAATGTCAAGTGGGAAGAGTTAGATTTTTCACGTGCGAGTCACTTGTTTGGCTCATTCGGGGGCCGAGAAACAAACAATAAAAAAACTTGCAAGCATCAACATTCCTAACTACATTCCAATTCTCTATAGGATTAAGGACGGGTCCTTTTTCACTTTTCTTGCTCTTAATAATGATTTATAATTATATTTTATTAGACGGGTGTGATCCAATAACGACTATATTTTCAATTTTAATTGTATTTTAAGGTTAGCCAAACATGCTAAGCTTATAACTGTTTGTGATGTAACACGATTTTCTTTTATTGCAAATAGAAACCACCACAAACTCGAAAAAGCTCAATTAATTAAAGGTCAAAGTACTCGAATATTTTTTTTGCTAAATTATGTTCCATTAACTACTTGAACTACACTAATCTTTTCCACTAGATTTAATGTGACCAATCACTATATATGGCGGCCTTAAAATGGACAAGTTGTTTCATACCACGGCTCATTTGGTCATGCTCGCGAGATGTTTTTTACTCTGTCACTTAAAATCATTGAAAAACACGAAAAAAAGTACAAAAATGGAGCCTGTACAGGATCAATAATTTCGATCCAAGCCTCACTCTCGAATAATATATTTTTAAATGTTTAAGTAGAAAAGGAATTAATTTTTGATAAATGCTCTCATATCACCCCCAAAAAAGGTCCGCACTACACATGTTGAACTTATATTTCACCGAGAGCTGCTACATGTACAAATAGATTTACAGGATGTCAAGCAGCAAAATTTTATTGGACTTTGCAAAAAAAAGTTTTAAAATAGTCAATTATATCCCACCACGCCATCATCTGTGAAGCTTTCTAGCATTGCTCTCTGTACAAAATAGCTTTACTCTATTTTGCTAATCGTAAAAACATGATAAAAAAACATGAAAATACCATCAATCAAAGCACATATACACTAAGAGGAAAAACCCCATAAATGATTTCTCATAATTCAAATATGAGTTAGAAAGGAAATGGTAATTTGGGAGAGAGAGATTTGAATTGCATGCATTTCTCTTCAAACGAGGACGGTATTTATAGTTTTCCCTCCAAAACTTTAGAGTAACTTGGTCAATTTGGAAAAATGACAGGTGGTGGCTCATTATTGGCTACTTCATAATTGATTCAATTAAGAGTCGTGCTTTATTCATTGGCTCACGTGCTTTTTATTGCAACATGTGTAACTAGCCTGGATTGGGGATAGAATCGCAAGCTTTAGGCGAGCTTTATGTGCTTTCGTTTCCCTTACATATTATTTTACGCTTCGCCAATAGCTGACCAAGTTCCCGGATTTGGTTTCAAGGTTCAACAAAGCTAAAAGTTGAAGAACCATCCGGTCCAACCTTACCTTCTAGTCTACCAAAGGCTGATGTCAGGCTATGCATTTCATCATCTTCGACAATTTTTCTGCCTTCCGATTTCCTAGCTATGATGAAATATTGGAGTTGGGTGTTAGCGGGCATCGAATTGGCATTGCTGTATTAATAATCTTAGATATAAGTTTAGTAATTTTGGCAAGTTTTATATTTTTCTTTTGACTGAAATAGATGACTTTTTAACATTGTATAACCATTTATGTTTACTAGTAGTGAGTGAGACACCTACACTTTTTCCTCTTAAATGTAGTCATTGATGTTTAACATAAAATTTTCGTTATTATATACTAGCAATTAATAGATATTATATTGCAAACAATTTGTCGTGGTGTATTTATTGAAAGTCTCGTTATAAGCGTAAATCTCTTTAGGGCGTTTGGTGGGATTAAAATTAGATTTTTAGTAGATTGTGATAAAAGTTTTTAAAATGTGTGATTGAAAAGTTGTGGGACACATGAAAGATATAGTTAATATTGATCGTTTGACTTTGACTTGAATTAAAATAGATTTTAATCCGGACCAAACAAGGGCCGGAAAACCTATAGATTGGCTAGCAAAAACTTGGTCAAACTCGGCCCTTGTTTGAGCCTCATGTTAGGGGGAAAGAATTCTTGCATAGTGATTTTTGGAGAACGTGTGGTTAAAAAAATATGTAAAATTATTTTATTAAAAAATGTGTGGTTGAAAATGAGTTTTGAATTTTTTTTTTTTTGGGCTAAAATGGGATTCGTCTTAATTGATTTTACTACTAGTCAATTGAATCTGAGTTGTCGTTCAACTTGTTCAATTCAAACTTAGTCAATAAGTCGTTAATTTATCCAAAAATTGAAATCCAATCAATCTTTACATTACAAATGAAAAATTGATGAACCTTTCCAACTAAAATTCAACTTTCCAAAGAGTTAAAGTTGATTCAATAACTCTTTATAAAATTGAGTAATTTCTGCCATATGTTCCGACAGATCAAAATTCAAACTATATGAACATAAATTTATGCAACTAAATTAATTATTTTTATGCCCTAATTATAATTCCACCTCAAGATGGATATGAAGCTAACAACTGCGCAGGTATGCATGAAGAATTCCTCCATGTTCTTGCATGCAATTTGAGAATTTCTCTGGCTCTCTCCTTTGTCTTTGATCCTCGATCAAAAACTTCAAATACCAAGCATAATTTTGCCACTGCACCAATCTGCAACATTTCTTGTAAAACTCCAGGAGTTGCTGAGAACTTCGATATCGAATGTAGAATTCTTATACCGCTCTCATTTGCTGTAGATGAAACCCTAAGAATCTTCTTTGAAACAATGGCTAATCCTGCACTGTGATTCAACAGTTCAGCTCTTCCCACAGCGCATTGGCATAACAAATTCAGCACCACAAGCATCAATTCAGAAGCCCTTTTGTCAGAAGAATCGAGTAAAAGGTCAATCAACAAAGGCACTGCTCCAGCTTCCACTGCTTTGATCCTGTTCTTTTCCCATGGACATACACTGATAAGAACTTTCAGTGCGGCTTTTGAGGCCTTCTGAGAGATTTGATCATTCAAGATATCTACTAATTCGAGGAAGAATTCGGGTCTGAGACTGATCTGTTGATTTGGATCAGCGACTTCGAACATGGATTTCAGAAGCATGACAGCATAGACACGAGAATCATAGCTCCCGGATTGCATGACGATCGTTAGGGACTCGATTAATTCGATATTATTCTGCAAGAGGGATTTTAAGCCGAATCCCGATAGCTGGAGATGATAGAGAATGCTTAAGGCTTCATCACTTGCTCTTCTCAACTCAATCACATCTTCCGATACTTCTGCTGAAGATGCCTCTACGGTTTTTTTCACGATTAACGAAGCTAAGAACTCGGCCGTGCCTGCTGTTTCCATGCATCTTTTATTCGTTTCATTGTGAGAAGCAATGGATCTAAGTCTCTGTAAGGACTTCAGCTGCTTGTTCGGAGAGTTGGCATCATTGAAAAGCTTCAAAAGTTGGGATTTACTTATTGGAGCTTTCGGGGTCGGGAGCCTCTCGATGCCTTCTGGAGCATGGAGGGTGCACCACGATTGAATAAACCGCCGGAGATTGATGTTTGGTGTCAACTCTGAATCCATAACCACTTGCTTTGTTACCGGGCAAGTATTATTATTCTTAGAAAACAACCATTTTTCGATGCTCTCCCGATCATATGTTATGCCGGTAGAGAGCGTAACAGGGTCCTTCATAATCTCCAGACTGATGGGGCAGAGAAAGTAGGATGGAATTTCAATTTCATCCATAGCAGAAGTAATTACAAAGATCAAGCCTATAATCTGACCAAAAAAAGTGATTATACAATTTTAAGCAAGAAAATAAGCTGAAGAGAAGTACAAAAAAATTGTAATCTATATGCAAATCAAAGAAAGTGAAGCTATTGAGGATTTGTGTGAATTGGTTTGAAGATTTATGAGCTTGGAGGATCTGGTTTTATAAAGGAAGGGAAAGATTCAAAATGTCAAAGTCAAAACACGGAAAATTTTGTGTGCGGTTCGTGTTAAGGAAAGAGTATTATTGTTTGTTTTCTTTTTTTTTTTTAATTACAACAAATTAAATTCGAACGTTGACTTTTCTATATGCAAGTTGCAAATGACAACTTTACGAATAATTTTCTTATTTAAAATCAAAACACAAGAATAAGTCGTGTTTAATTACCATGAAGGAGTAAACAGAAGAATTAGAGTTTGGAAAAGTTCAATTTTGGTTTAATAAGTGCAACGAAAGTAACTTCGACCCCATTTTATTATTATTATTATTATTATTATTATTATAAAATTTCATTCAATTCAATTGAATTGACGTAGATTTATTTGGAATGAATTGATCATGTAGTATTTTATTTTATTTTATTTTTTCCTTTTGAAAGAGATATAAATTCAAGTATAACGTATTCTAAAAACTACTGTCCAGGGACGGATCCAGGACCGGATTATAGGCCGGGCTAATACTTTTAAAAAAAATATTACACATGATTTTTTTTTTTTTGCATAAATTTTTCTTTTTCTAACTAAAAAAAATTAGTTGGGGGACCGAGGGGGGGGGGGGCTATAGCCTCCCCCCTCCATCCGTTCCTACGGTAGACCTATAAATTCCACTAAACCTCACGACAATATCTCATGTGTTAAATTGTAATGAAATGTCAATATTTTACTTGCGAACAGCTAAGAGAACAATAAAATGGAACAGAAGATCTAGCCTATGCTAGAAACTGAAAAATATGAGCACAATTAAATGAGTTGTTACGAGTTTGATATTGCATCTCAAAATCTTGTGTTAAGGGTGTGTTTGAGCCACATTATTTTGGAAGAATGTATTTTGGAATAATAGATTGATGGAGAGTGTGTGGTTGAAAAAAAAGGAAAAATTATTGATGTGATAGAAAATATTATTTTATTGAACAATGTGTGGTTGAAAATGAGTAGAATAATGAGAATGAGAATTTTAGGCCCTGTTTGGGAGAGATTAAATTTTTCTACAGTAAATCAATTCTCAATTTCAACCACACGTTCTTCAATAAAATAATATTTTCCATCACTTCAATAATTTTTTCTTTTTTTTCAACCACAC